AACTCAATTAATTTTGGGGCCAGAACTTCATCAATAAAACACTGGAGCTGATGTGTAAGGTTCTTCTATACTTTACAATCACACTAATGCCATACAGGCAATACCAGAGTTGTTTCAATAGGCCAGTGCTACCTTGTAAACTCTGAAACAATGCTTGGCTAACAGAATTAGTATGTTTGTGTAGGAACTAAGAAAATAATTTCAGACTATTTGCATCGTTTTTTCTGCCATTTTTTCATTTCTTATAAATAAATCTGCACAAAACACTATTTGTATTATTTAATATAGTCATATTTATAAAACCTAAGAACAAAGAGAATATATATAGTATGAATGGAATAATCTATAAAAAGGTTTTCTTAATTTTAGATGAAAGCTATTTCTAAAATATTATGCAAACCAGACATGGTAGCACATGCCTGTAATCCCATAATCAGAAGGCTGAGGTAAGAGGATCATTGTGAGCTCAAAGCCAGCTTGAGCTATATATGAAGTCAAGGCCATTCTGAACTACATAGTGAGACTGTTCCAAAAAACTTAAATATTTAAAATAAAATATTATGCAAACATATTCAAAATTAAAATCACTCTTTTCATGTATTTACTACAAAATTATTGTACTTGAAAGATAAAAAATAGTCAATACCATTAATAGTCCCTGCTTGAACATATTTTTTTAATTAGATCAGGTAAAGATTTTTATAAATTGAAAATTTAAAACCTTTACGACATAAATATTAATGCTTACTTGTTGAGTAAAAAATGATTTATTTATCTGTTAACCCTTCTTGATTGACATATTCCAGTGAAAGCAATAAAGGCAACTTTCTGACGAATAGTCTGATGAGATTTTAGGTAAATTCCAAAAGAATCAAAACATTCATAACAGTAAGGTTCTTCTAAAGCAAAATAAGAAATACAATATTTTCCTCTAAAATTTAAGCAAAAGTGATAATAAATTTTAATGATAACATAGGAGAAAATTTCTTTTTAACATTTCAAGGAAGTATTTTCTCTGCTTAGAAGATCATAATAAAGTTTTAAAAGTATACATGGAAGTTCTGTAGGCTGCATTATACCTACAGAACTTTAACATGTAAAATTGAAAATTAATATTTGAGAAGCAAAATCAGATAAAAAGAAATGCCTTTAGTACTACATACCACCTCTGAATACATGAGCAAAATATGCCACAGTTAGCTTTTCCACAAATAGATATTCTCATGTTAAGAATAATCTTCCACCACTGATTAATGCTACCTTAGTTCTAATGCCTTTGATGAATTCCAATACATTTTTAACATTTCTTAGTTTATCAAGAATAACAACATGGCAAAAATCAGACTAAAACAAAGTACATAAAAACCTTTTGAAAATTTCATGTATTGGTAGCCTCAGTAACATCACATATTAACGCTGAAGATGGACAAGGCAGAGCATTACTGTTATACAAACAAGAAAGGTTTCCCTTTTCAGTACAGCACAGCCACATTTTTAATCCCCTTCAGTTAATAAAGCTGCATTTATCAATAGTAATCTGCAAGCTAACAGTCACTAGGTTTTCTTCATTGAAAACACATTTTTGTTTTATCTTTTACCTAGTCAGGCCAGTTGTGTGTGTGTGGGAGGTATGTGTGTGTGTGTCTATATACACATACCACTTTCTCTATTAGTAATTATAAGCTACCTCCTCTGTGTCAAGTTCTGTGCCTGGCCATAGAGTTGGAAAAATGACCAAGATGTGAACCCTCCCCTTAAAATAGTAAGCATAACTCAAAACTGCCCACATATTTGGCTTATCTTTATGCCTTCAATGTAATCACTGATGAATCTCCAGTTTTCTCACATGAGTGCTTCCTTTGTGAACCATCTCTCTCAAAGGATTCGAATTATTCTGCCTCTAAACTTTTAAAGCAAAATTCTAGGGTTTTTATTACTAGATGAATATTATGATTCTATTATTACGATTATTACTATAAACACAACCATAATAAAATAATGGCAGCTACATTTATTGATATATTAGCTACCAAATACTGTACAAGGAATTTTATATATAAGCTCACATTTAATTGTGCAAAGAAAATTTCATTACAATATTTTAAGGAGAATAAGACAGAGGCCTGGAGTGTCATAACTAAAGACACACAGAAAAAGATTCAAACCTGACATTTGCCTAGATAATAGTGATATTACACTATCTCTTAAAGAAAAAGGCTGTATCTGTAGATGGCATAAACCAATAAAAGTTTAACTCTCTGAACTTGTGTTGACATAAGGAATATGTCAACACAGTTAAATCAACCAGAAATAGGTAACAATCATGTATACTAAAGAAAATATAAGAGAAAAAATAAGCTATACATTTTTAGCCCTCCATATCCATAAGCTTCAAATCTACAAATTCAATCGAGTAAATTAAAATAACTCCTCCCCAAAAATCTCCTCCCTCTGTATTGCACATACATAGACTACTTTGTCATTATTTTCTAAATACGTAACACTATATAATTACTAACATAGCATCCAAAATTGTGTTAAGTAATGTAGTGATGACTTAAAGTATATATGAAGATGTGTATAGGTTATATGCAAATAAGACATCACTTGCTAAGAGACTGTGTGCACACGGGTCTTAAAGATCACACACTATCTGCAAGTAGAAAGATCATCATCTCTCTGCATTAGGATATACTAGTGGTGGCCAACCTATGACATGCATGCCACAGCCATCTGTTTGTCATCAGTGAAAGTTTGAAAAGGTTCACTATCACCTGCATACATCATCAAAACTTAAATACAGGTTTAATGCTGCAAATCCACAAATACAAAATCCTAAATTCTATGAAATTCAAAACTGTTTTAACAATAAGAGGATGTTACAGTTGAAAAGTTCTATACCTGAACTCAGGCAAATTAGACTCAAAATATTGTATAAAGTTATCTTCAGATTATGTGTAAGATGATATATATGAAACATAAATGAATTTTGCATTTAGACTTGGGTATCATGCCAAAATATGTAATTATGCACATGTACATATTCCAAAATCTGAAAAACTCCAGTACCTAAAATAGTTCTGCTTTCATGCATTTTGAAAAGGGATACTCAACCATTTTTTACCAACTTGAAAGGGTGAGGTGAAGATCTGGCTTTTATCCACATCCTAATCTCAGGACCCACCACAATGGCAGCACCTAAGTGATGCTCAAGATAAGGCAGTGTAATAAAATCATCAACTCTTCAAACACTGTTCTAAGGTAAATGTTCCATTTATAGCAATGTGTGATAACACATGCATATCTGGAACATCACAATAGGATCAGTGAAAAAACATTTAAGTACTGCAAGGTAAATATCAGATTGTCAATAAATTTTTCAGCACTATTTCTTAAAGGCAGATAAGGAAATACAAAAAATTTTAACACAATTTCTAGCTATTAGTGGGAAAATTTAGCATTATCTCCACAGCAACTACATCCTGGCAACAGATACACTTTATATTTGTGAACATTAGACACAATCAAAACAAAGAATGACATAAGAACAGAAGTACAGCTGTTGTTGTCAAGACTGTAGGCTGAAATTTAGCACGTTAAATATATTTAATCATAAATTCCAAATTAGTTTATTTCCATACACACACACACACACACACACACACACACACACACACAATACAAAGAGGAAAGGTTAAAAAAAAAATTAAGAAAGTTTCTTCTAAAGTTTGTAACAATCCACTTAGATCCTTCCTCACAGGATTTACTAGCCCTCAACAAGTTTAGCAATCATTTACCCATGTCTACACTACCTTTTCTCATTACCTTACTTTCATCTTTTGTACGGTGGTACTCTGTGACATTTCTTTGCAAATTCTTTTCAGAAATTAGTAGAAGCAAATTTAAATACTGTCTTCTGTTATTGGTTGAGTTTTTGTCACAAGAGAAGCTCAAAAGTAACGGTTTCTACAAGCCCTTGATATTCTACCCAAAATGTGGTTAAGTTGCAGTCAAAATAAATGTAGGTATCTACTGAAAGGAAAGCAGGGAGCTGGTGGGGATATACAAAGTTATGACCTTCTTAATCTTCACCATCCAAAATTATAAAAATGTAAATAGTATCAATTTCGAAAATATTATATGTATTAGCACCCAGCACATATACCATTAAACACTTCACCTTGAACCTTGTTTTCTTCATACAGCAATGAAACCTACCAGCTACAGATTAAGTATCTACGACTTCCCAAACTCTGCCAACTGAAACCTAATCTGCAATATGATCTACTTGGAGGGAGGGTTCCTGGGAGGTGACTGAGTCACAGTGAGAAGCCCTCATCGATGGGATGGTGCCCGGATGAAGTAGCACCGGAAGAGCTCCCACGACTCACTTGCAGTGTGAGGACACAGCACAAGGAGTAGCAGGTGAACAAGAAAAAGGGGGCTCTTACCCTACACCGAATCTGCCATTGCTTCAGACTGCATTTCCCAAAACACAAGACACAAGTACCTCCTGTTTTTCAGCCATCCAATCCACAGTATCTTGACAGCAACCAAACAGACCAAACACACTAATCCAAATAGCTCTGAGAATTAAATGGGTAAAATACATCAACCTTTTGGCATAAATTCCTGACATATAGTAAGTTCTCAATTCCCTTCTTTTTTACTTTGCCTCTAATCTCCAATTTTAAGACATAGGAAAAAATTGTAAATCAAATCTACTGGAAAATGAATGGTTGACTGAAAGAATAAAAATTATATTGTAATAAACTTTATTGTGTAATAAAAATTACATTGTAATAAACTATTTTTTCTGACAATATTGAAACTACTATCTATTAAGACAGAATATATAAAACATGTTTTAGAAGTTAGAATCCCAGTTTCAGCAGTACTGAGGACCAAACTCATGTCTCATGCATGCTAGGCAAGTACTACACCACTGAGCTACATTCCCACCTCAAAACAAGTCTTAAATTAGCGTTTATCCATATTACCTTGTCTTCCAGTTTGTCTTTCAAACATTGATATTTTAGCTTCATTATTTGGTTCTCACTCTCATTCTGGGTTAATTCCTCTGTCAGCTTCTCACACTGTGATTTTAACTTCTCCAGCTCACAACGATGGAGTTTAGCTATATTCTTATCTTCTAAGCTTTCTGCCTAAGATAAAGAGGGAAAAAGAGAAAACTCACTGTTTACAGCCAAACTATACCAAACTAATCACATTATACCAGTAGGAAAATACTTCAGTATAATTCTCTCAAAGTATTTATACGTAAAAATTAAACAAAAAATATTCCTTGTGTTTCTTTTATTACTCAACCACTTACCAAGTGATAGGAATTATACTAGGGGCTAAAGATAATAGATATGAACAGTGAAAGAGAGTCAACACTCAACTTGAAAACAATAAATGAAGCCTGGTGTGATGCCACGTGCCTATAATTCCAGCACTTGAGAGGCTGAAGAGGCCAACTTGGACTACCATAGCAAGTTCAAGACCAGCCTAAACAACATAGCAAGACTGTCTCCAAAAAAAAATTGAAAAATTAAAAAATAAAATAAATGAGAAGTACTTAAAAGTGGAGGCTGTGTGTGTGGAGTATCAAAAAAAGAGAAACCAACTGCTAAAATAGGAAGGAGGTGTTAGATCAGTTTCCTGACGGAAAATTCTATGAGATGATACTTCTAACTGATCAGTTATAAAAAAAAAGCATAACAGTCCTGTTCTTCCTAAATCCTGGATTTTAAAAGAATTATGTACTTTAGTACAATGTAATTAATGATGCTATATTTCTGGCACTAGAAAATTTATGAATTATAACAGCCAAGAAACTATAAACTTAACGTGAAACACTTTATTTCAGCATCAATCATATAAAATAAAGTAACTTTTTATTCACCTTTATTTAGATATAATGGAAATCAGGTCTCAAATGTAAACATTAATAATCTATTCCATATAAGGAATTCAATAAACATTTGCTAGGTTGTGAACTTAAAGAATTTTGAAATAACAATGTAAACACTGTGTGTCAGATAGTGCTGAGACATTATGTACAATTTTTGTATTCATTGTCAAAGCAACCTAACCAAGAAGCCTGTATTATTGTCCTAATGCCTTCTTTTTAAAACTAAAGCTAATAATTTGCCCAAGGGTATATATGGTATAAATGCAGAGAGAGGATTTAAACTCAAGAATTCTTTCTAAAATTTTTAAGTATTTTCAATTATCCCTTCACTCAGCCTCTCGAAGATACAAAGTTATGTTTTAAAAACAATATGGTTGAAATTTTCAACACTAACTGGCTCCACCTACCAGTGTTTTTAATGCTTAAAATACATGGCTCTTTAATTTTTCTATGTTTATTATATGTTTTAATTAGGTATGTAAGAACACAATCATTGAGGAAAACTTCCTGAAAGGAGGAACTTCTGTGAGTTTCGGAGAAAATCTATATTTTATTTACTCCACAAAATTTACCTAAGACCTGATGCTACTTTGAATTAACAAACAAATTGATTTTTTTTATGAGAAATCCTGTACTCACAGTTCAAAAATAAATTTACAAAATAAAGTCTCTCACCAGGAAAACTGCTCAATTACAAGTTTAACTTTCAGTAGAATGCTTTTACTTCTCTCTTCTTTCCTATAAAAAGCACAGATAAATGAGAGGCTTCTCCAGAAGGTCAGGGATGTAACAGAGACGCCAGGAGCCAGTGCTCACCTCTTCCCAGCTTCACCCCTGTCTGGTTCTGTCTTCTATGAAATCCGCCCATGGGGATGTTTACATCAATAAGCCTGGCAAATGCTGCAAGTCTGCATTTCTTCCCCCAGAGAGGCTGCTTTTAAATATTTGTCAGCACACCAATTCTTACCTTAAGGACATATTTATTTTTGTGCTTTTTATTACATTTACATTTCATTGTAGGGTTCAGAAGTGATGTGATTGCAACCACTCAGCAATATACAAAAGTGCTGTTATCCTTACTTTGTTGATAATGCATGAAAAGGTGAAGTAATTTGATCGAGTTCATATGGCTGACAAGTGGTAAAACCTCACAACTCCACCCTGAACATTTTGGTTCCACTAAAATGCTTCACAAAATGATTTTGTTGAAATTATAATAAAGTGATAGCCCAACACCCTGAAAATATTAATTAAAGCTACAGCATGTCAGTAAAATACCAACTTAAATTTAAAAGTAGGTATAAGTAAGATAATTTTTGATGAAGGGGGACATGTAATTTACACAGGAAAAAAATGTGGTTGTTGTATCACAGTTTACTCAATTGAAAAAGCAATAAATTACAGGAGACAGGAAGACACAAAAATATACCACTTGTAGAGCTGATTGCCTAAAATTCTATTGTACATAATTCAATATACTAAATCTATAAGGATCTTTGTTATCAATTCTCTTTTTACATAATACAAATGGGTAAAAGTGTAGAATTACATTATTCCTATTATCTAATAAACCTTTTCTGCTCTTAACCTCCTTTGTTCTTTAGAATTCATTCTTCGATTTCAGGGACATGAACTTGACACATCTGATATCCAGCAGGTTGAGCTACACTTCTCCTATATCAACACATTCATATTTGGTCAAACAAGTTGTACTTTCAATATTCTGTCTCCCTCTCAATATATCTGAATGTGAGACTGATATTCTGATCCTATTCTAAGTGAACAAATTATGACTAACTCCTAGTATCTCTGCAGGATGGTCACACAACCTAAATAATGGCAACAAGGCATCTGAACTTCTGAGAAGGAAAGGAGATTCTAGTTTCAACAACAATCAAGAGAACTATCAGCTCCTCGAGAACAATTTCTTTTGCCAAATCCAGCATGTTAACAAATCATCACATGCTAATCACCACGCAAAATCCTGCCTTTCTCTAAGATTCACACTATTCCTCACCGGTGCCTCTGTTTCCTTGCTGGTAACAGCTGACTGACCAGTCCCTCTCTTCAGGAGGATTCTGGTATTGGGCCCAATTATTCTCCTCCTAATAATACCATAAATGCCCAAATGTCCACGCAACAAAACAATCTCAAAGTTTATTGAACCTGTTCTATTCTAACTACGTTTAGCCTCATTCCACAAAGGCAACCCACTGCATGCCACACCTACTACCCTATCTCCAAAAATGTGCACCACAATCTAAGAATTTCTGGCCTAATAACTACCTGGAAGCCACGTATTCTTATTACTCACCTCTCTCATTCCACTGAAACCTATGTTCCTCACGTTCACCTACATGGCAACACTTCACAAGCTCCCAGATCCGCTCCAGGTTATATCTATCTTCACAGCAGTTTTCTCCTCACCACCCAAAAGCCACTAGTGTTGTCCTACTCTTGTCAAAGGGAAGAGAGACCATCAGTCTCATCAATTCCCTTTGACCACCTCTATCAATGTACCAAATCTTACTGGTTTCATCCAAAATCCTCAAAGGAAGAAATGCCTGGCCCCGGCTCTACACTCTATTTTTTCATTGAACATTTTCACATATTTCTTATGGACACTTTTAATCAGTCTCTGCCAAAAGCAGTAAATTTATTTTAACTTCTTTTAGATTTTAACACTCTTAAGATTATGTGCCACACATAACACTCTCAATTGTATCATTCTAAAAATGTCCTACCTGGGTCTCCAAAATACCATTTATACGATTCTCCTCTTACCCCTCATATGTTATTTTATTCTCCTTTTCTAGAAGTTCTCTATTAATTTTTTCTTTAAACACTGGAATTCTAGAAATGCCTCCTTTCCTTTCTCCATGTACAATCTCCCAAATCCTATTATTTCAACTACCACCTGCAAGTTACTGACTCCCAAATGTTTCATTCTGATTTTAATTACTTCTTCAACTCCTAAACCCTTACGTATTAAACTACTGAACCGAGATTTTCATGGCTCACCTTAAGATCCCTCCTACCTAATGCAATATGCTAAAAAACTAGAATTGTCACTGTTCTGTTGAAATCTGCTGTTCTGTCTGTTTGTCTATGTTGTCTAGGTTGGCAAAAAGTGTCATTATTTACCAAGTGACCAATGCTATTACCTAGTCGTTCTTGATTCTAAACTCTTTCCAGGAGATCAAAGTAATAAAGAATGCAGGCAGCCAACTATCTGGGTTCAAATCCACTCTTCAGCTGTAAAACTCTCCACAAGTTATTTTACAACTTTGTATGTCTCAGTTACCTCAAGTTCCACAATCTAAAGGTGATATGAATATTCAGTGAATAACACAGTGTTATGATTGATACATTATGTCAACTTCAGAAGTTTAAAAGTCTAACGAATAAGAGGCCAGAGATTTACCTCAGTGGCATAAGTGCCTGCCTGGCAAACGCTAGGTTGTGAGTTCAAACCCCAGTACCAAAAAACAAAGTCTAATGAAGAGACTCAGCAGGGAGCCAGGATCCTTTGTAAATATGCTCATCTTGTATAAAAGGCAGGCAAGGAAATTTTGTGAGTGCTACATCTGTAGGGGAAGGAGTGGCCTGCATATAATATACAAGGGAGGAAAAGAGGCGTGTTCTTCCCTTTTTCTCTGGCTGCTTTTATGGGTTGCTGCCTTGCAGTGTTGCTCCTTTGCCGTATCAGCCCTGCCTTGGAGCCAGCTGACTATGGACTGAAACCTCCACAAACAGTGAGCTAAATAAACCTTTCCTTCCGTCATTTTTGTTGAGCATTTTGTCCCAGTGAGAGAAAAGTAATGAAGATGCACAAGTAAAATTTTAGTAGGGAATAACATAAAATGTTGAAAAAATATTTGATAGTATTATTGTCACAACCAAGCAAATAACATGAGAGACAGACAGAGACAGAGATCTCAGTTCTTCGTAACCCTACTCTTACTTTTGTTTCTGTCCTCATAAACACTGAAGAACTAATACACCAAATTTAAACAACAGTAAAATGTATATTTTTCACAATCTACCCTCTCTGCGTGGTTGTCCTACAGTTTAATGTCATGTCATAGTTTCACAGGAAGAAGGTTGCATATTTTTTCTTAGTAACATACAACAATGATGCACCTTTAAACTGACTGCATTTTAGAGTCAGTGAAATCTAGTGAGGGTCACAAACCCTCCATTCTGACCTGCCTATCTGAGTAATTACCCTAAATTCACTATTGGCAAAAGAACCTAGAAACCAGCTATAGCATTCTAAAAATGCCAGATTCTTCAACATAATTCCATTTTGCATTATATTTTTTGAATTTCAAAGACTTTTGAACAAACTATAGTTAACTTTTAAAGATGTATCCATTCTTTCATCTACTTAACAGATATTTACAAGGTTCCAAAAACTATGTAAGACTGGAGACTTAGCTGTAAAAATCAGACTTAATTCCAATGTTCCCATATTTATGGAGTTTTCATTCTAATAAAGGGAGATCAAAAAAATAAATAGTATGGAATCAGCACTATATGATAATAAATGCAATGGATAAAAACAGAGAAGGATAGACTTATCATGCAAAAAATGATTGCCCTGGTTGATGTAACACTAGAATCATTAGACATGAGAAACATCTCCTTAAATGTGAAGTATCACTTAGAAATTCACCCATGTAACTCTGAATTGGAATAGAAGGGGTAAACCTCAAAAGCCTCGGGTTTACACAGCCCATAAGCTGATCCACTTTAGTTACCATACTAATCAGGACTGTGGTTATAGCCTCTATGGCCTTGACAAGTCTTTGCCTTTTATATTTTAGGAGGTCATAAAATGCTGAATGAGGGCACGTTTCAGGTCCAGGACTTACTGCCACCTCTACCTTTCCTGAACTCCCAAAACAGCTAAATGTTCCTTTTAAAGGGCTTCAGTGCTGTAAAATAGGCCCTCCCAGGTGGCTGCTATAACTCATTTCGACCTGGCCGAACAGGCATGAATAAACCTCTTTATTGTTGGTTTTATCTCCCCTTCAGTGCTTGGGAATACAAAATGATCTCTAAAAGTTTACGCTTTATTAACTTCATGAGCCACCAGAAAAATTCCTTCAGTATCATCAAGATAATTCAGCACAGGTACCTGCAGCGTCCTAATATGATGCTCTGCTTCACTCTTTTCTTTCTTAAAGTGCTTCATCAGCTCCTGAATATTTTGTTCATGTTTCATTTTCACACTGTGCAGTGAAGATGTGAGATCTTCCAGCTCCCTCTGGTGAACATCTCGCTCCAGCTTCAGCTGTGTGATGACAGTAGCTGTTTCTTCATCCTTCGATTTTGCCTGGGCTGTGAGGTCAGAAAGGTCCTTAAGCACCATTTTCTTGGCTTTCTCTTCTTCGGCCAATTTATTAGCAAGATCTGCTCGAATGGCACTTAAGTCCTTGATGGACTCTTGCATCTCAAGAAGTTTAGCTTTGTCCTGAAGATGGCTCTTCCTTAATTCTGCAATTTCTTCTTCCAGGTGAGCTTTCTCAAATTTCATCTGGCTTTGAACCATATTCTGCTTTTTTAATTCACTCTCTAGTCTTTGAATGGTATCCACAGAATTCTTGACTTCCTGTTCAAGCTCCGCTTGATGAGACTGAATATCACTTAGTTTCCTCTCCTTAGAGTCAATCTCTTCCTCTTGAAGGGCACGCCTGGTTAAGACATCATTCAATTCTTTTCTAAGATTCTCTATCTGTTGCAATGCTATATAAAGCTGATTTTTCAAATCATCCTTTTCTTTTAGAAGCTAAAGGGTAAGGAACATAAAGCAAAAAAATGTTACTGTGAAACTCAACATAGATTCTTCCACAAAACAAAATATAGTTTAATACATAAGGAAAAGAAAAAATTCATGAAACATTTTTTCTATTTTTTTGAAGAAAAGTGGAAAATACATAATTACACTGGAATAGTATAATATTGAAACATATATTTTGTATTTTAACACCAAAATGTAACAATCTAGCACTATAAATAATCATTTAAATGTAAGATAAATTGAAAAAAGAGATAGGTAAAGAACTACTATAATTTACTAGAGGTTGGTTTAATAAAGTATTACTAAGGAAGCTGAGGCAGGAGGATCACACATTCAAGATCAGCCTACGTAACTTAGCAAGACCCTTTTGTAAAAAATTTTAAAAAGCTGGGGATGTAGTTCAGTGATAAGAGTGCTTGTTTATTTATTAGTCGCTTTCCCATAGTGGAGACATAACTAAAACCCACAACTTAAAGGAGAAAACGTACAATTTAGCTCATGGCTTCAGAAAATTCAACGCCTAGTCACAAGGCTCCAAGCGAGAAACATCATGGCAATGATGTACATTCCAATGCACATTTTTAAAAAGCAGAAATCTTGAAACAGAGATAATAAATAATATAGACAGATAAAATCTAAGAAAGGATATGATGTAATAAGCTAATACTAATAAAATAAAACAACACTGACTAGAAGCATTTCCATTTACTACCAGGAGTTCTGAAGATCAACAAAGGTATAAATAAGATAAAGACTAAATAGGATGGGAAAGCGCTCAAGAGAAAAGTAATGGGCTACCCATTCATCACTCCTGCCAAGTGTGTTAAAGGTTGGGGATGACACTGAGGAGGAAAGACCAACAAATAACCATCACGGTCTCTGTCCAATCACTGCAAATGAAAAAGTAGGCAGCAATGGAGCCAAGATTATTTCCTGTATAACATGGCACAGAACAATCACTATACTTGCTTATTGACACTCACACGTCTTTTTCTCTTAAGTTTTATTTTTAATTGACAAATATTGTACATATTTGTGAAGTGCAATGTAAGGTTATAATTCACGTTTCTACTATGTCCTGAATAAAGAAAAAAATTTACCTCAGAATCAGAAATAATGAATGAAAATGTAAATATATACAAGGCAATTCAATTGTATATTTCAGTATGAAACAATGATAAAATGTAATGAGTCAGTCCAGAAATGAGGAGTTTCCTTAAATCCTTCTGGATTTTAATGAGAAGAAACAAAGAACACAAAGTTAACATAAAAATAAAAGTAGGTAATTAAACAGCTGAGCTTTCACCGGAAGAAAAAAAAATGAATTTGACTCCCAGTCCAACCAAGTATAGTTCTATGGACTAAAAAAGAATGTCATTTGTACCCATAGAAATAATAGTTACTACATGTTATGACACTGAATGAAGTTTATTTCCAGAGGCCAACACATAGTCTTAGATTCTCAGCCTTCAGAACTACGAGCTGAATAAACTTCTACTGTTTATATATTACCCCAGGTGTGGCACTTTATTATAGCAACAGAAAAGGAACAGAAACAAAAGCAACCAAAAAATCGGTACCAAAAAGTTAGGCTACTGCTGTAACAAACACTTGAAAATGCGGCAATGGCTTTGAAACTGACAACGCGTAAAAGATGAAAAATTCAGAGGAGCAAGCTAGGAAAAAAAAATCACTTCCAATGAAATGCAACGGCATAATGTTCTGATGAAGGCTGATTACATTCTATCAAATAAAATGTCTTTTATTACAAAATATACTATGTTTTCCTGGAACTGGGTTAAACAGCAAATGTATTTATTTTTCTCAGAAAATTTTATAGGGAATGTGTGGAATATTTTAGCTGAAGTAGTCACAATAGGAAGATACGGATAGTAAAAGCCATGGTGATGAGGTGCAAGACAGAAATAAAAAAGAAGATATTAGAAGAGAAAGTAAAGGCCATCCTTGTTAAACAGTTGCAAAGAATCTGGGTACACTGTATCCATACCCTGATGGAAGAAAGAAATTAAAATTAATAAACTAGGATATCTGGTAGAGGAAATGAGTACATAAGCACAAAGCATACATTGTGCAGCCACAGAAGCATGACCACACTTAAGATCTCAGAACTCAAGAGCTACCAGAGTGCAGTCCAGCCTGGACAACTGCTGCCTAGCTGAGCCCAGCAAAGCCACAGCAGAAGGACTGTGAGATGCTTCTGGGGCTCCCATGACCGAGGATGTTCAGGTGGCAACACATGGGTGGAAAAAGTTTGTTCTCCACCTTTACAACTTCCCGTTGTTTTCCTTGTTGGGTTTGGATTTACCTGGATTCAGTTACCTCTCTTTCTTATTTCTCCCTTCTGCAATTGAAATGTCTATATGGGCCCACTGCTGTATTTCAGAAGTAAATAACTGGTTTCAATGTCACACACCTACAGCTGGTGGGAATGTGTCTCGGGATGAACTGTGACTTAAGTCTCACCCACAACTGAGTTAGATGAGGCCCCAGGTTTTGAAATTTTTAGTTGATGTCAGAACAAATTATGCCTTTAGGGTGATTAGGATAAGATAAATCTATTTCATATGTGAGAAGCACATAAGTTTTAGTAGGTCAGGGAGCTGGTTTGTATATCCTTTCTAAAATTCACGGAGAAATACATTGTTATTGTAAGGGGCGGTGTCTTCAAGAAGTTACTAGATCATTCCAAGCTCTGCCTTATGAACGGATTAATGCTGCTACCAAAAGTCAGTTATCTTTATTCCAGGTTTTTTATAAAAGTGAGTTCAGTCAGACTCTTTCTCTGTAGCATGCATTTCACCATGTTATAGTGCAACACAAAGGTACTTGCCAGATGTCAGTACCATTTTCTTAGACTAAGTCGAATATGTCTCCATTGTTTATAAATTACCCATTCTGTGATATTCTCATACAGCAGTAGAAAAGATACTAAAACAAGCCTCATGTGATTGGATTATGCTTATTCACGTAATTGGTTTATCTGGTTGAACACAGAGTAAACATAATATAATTCTGGAAGTAGTATGTTCATGGCTTTCAGAAACTAGAGTGAGGTGTCTTTTGGGAAGAGTTCTTTCTATGTACTCCATTAGAGGAGTGAGACATGGTGGGAGAAGCCTGAGAGTGAGAGGAGGTGGCTTACATATAGTGATCAGTGTTTGGAGCAGGTAACAGAGTCTCCTTATTACAGACAGTGACTTAGGTAGAAATATTATGGGCAGTCAGATATAAAGGCTAGGAGAGAGTCAATACAAAACATCAAAACACATTACAACTGTTGCCACACACATTATCTGATGGAGGCCAGGCCTCAAGATAAAGGCAGAATAACCAGCCCAACAAGCCTTCCCAAAGGACAAGATTAAATGGTAACACCTGGTCCAATAAAGTCTAGATAGACATCAGTCACCTTGGTGGGTGACCAAGATCTCCGACCCATCCTTTTCTGAAAAGTTCTTTGTTCTTTCCATGTACACTTGCTATGTGACTCGCTTCCCCACTGAATAAATATTAACTAAGCCACTATACTTATAATCTTACTGGTTGACCAAACTTTTAATCCTCACGTACCCACGTCATGATTTTGCTCTATAAATTTACTTTGAGAAATGAACTCCATGGCAACCCACTCGGGTCCCCTCCTGGGGACCTATCAGGAGCTATATCTTCCTCAATTTAATTTTCTACTCTTAGCTTTTGTTGTTCCTTAGAAATCATGCTTCGATTTTGGGGAACACGAACTCGGCATATCGGACATCAAGCACATTAAGAGTTATAATACTTCACCTGTGTCATTTGGAGGTCCTATACGCCCTGGCAATGCATTAAGAGGGTTCCAAGTAGCCCTCAAGATTAAAATCACATTTTCATTACATTCTATCAAATAAAATGTCTTTGATTACAAGATATATTATGTTTTCCTGGAACTGGTTTAAACAGCAAATGTATTTATTTTTCTCAGATATCAGGAAGGACAGAATAGAGTGGTTTAAGAAGAAGCTGGTGTGGTGGTACATGCTTGTAATCCTAGCACTCAGAAGGCTGAGGCAGAAGGATCACCATGAATTTGAGTCCAGCCTGGGCTACACAGCAAGTTCAGGGCCAGCCTGAACTACATTGCAAGACACTGTCTCAAATAAATGAATGAATGAGAAGAATCCTTTGAAACTCAATCTCTACTCTACTCTAAAATTCTCCAGGTTTTACTGCCTTCACAGAGTTCCTAGCATCACATCACTTCGGACAAAAGTGACAGCCTCAGGAGGATAATTAATAAACTCTGAAGTTACTCTGGGAAAACAGACACCAAAACCTAAAAAACTCTAATTCTTCTGATTAGTTGCTAAATTAACAGCCACAGCCCATGATATTGCTATGTCTGTCTGTCTGCCTCTGTCTCTGTCTCTGTCTGTCTCTCTGTGTGTGTGTGTGTGTGTGTGTGTGTGTGTGTGTGTGTGTGTGTCTGCCTGTCTCTCTGTCCTACCCCCCCCCAAAATGTCTTGGACACTTCCAGAGTCTCACAGGTGAACAGTCTTTATCTTAAGAGAATTCAGACTAATACACTTGAGCCAGATGTGGTGGTGCAGTAATTGTATCTACTTGTAATTCTATCTACTCAGGAGACTGAGGGAAGAGGATCACAAGTTCCAAGCAAGCCTGGACAACCTAGCAAAACTGCGTCTCAAATTTAAAAAAGAAAAGAAAAAGTAAAAGCTGAGGATATAGCTTGATGCTTACTCTGTTCAATCCCCAGCACCATATATACACAACAAAAATGAAAACTAAAACGAACTTGCATCTCCTTCATCTAGATAGCAGTGCTTAAGTATTTGAAAGGGATGAAAAAACGGATAATTTTATATCTTTTTTTCTTCTTGCTAAGTTTCCTGCTTCCCTCTTAGATTAACTTCAGCTTAGATGGATAATTTGGCTTTTCCAGCCCCAAAATGTTCTTTATCAGACAAGTC